CTATCCACTCCTAACTGACTGTAATTTTTAGCTCCCCAGATGCTGTCTCCGTGGTAGGGGGCCGCATGTCAGCTCTAGCCAGCTCAGAGGCCTAGAGCTGCCATTCAGAGGAGAAGACTGGGCCAGCTGCCAAGACTCACCGTCCCACCTAAACAAGCTGAAGAAACTCCTGCTACGAATCCATGATTAATTGCCGGGTGGTTTCGCTCTGGATCACAAGGTGATGGGTGTGCGCACGCGCAGGGTGCAGCTTATCTTAATTATCAATGTAGCTATAAAAGGTGGTGGGAAGCACAGGGTGGCAGCTCTGACAATTTATTCATTCCCTTAGTGCTTTGTTGGTCAGTTCGTGCCGAAGGAAGAATACAAACTGCATTTCAAACTGTTTCTGTGTTTGGCTGGTTTCATTATCCCTTCGGAACCTGACACTGAGTATACTAATTACTACTGTTTTCTCAACTGCTGAATATTGAAATATTTTTTTAATTATTCTTTACTTTTTAAATAATGTGAGTTGTTCAGAGTCATTTGTTGAGATTGCAGCTATATAAGATAATTAAAAAGTAAATAAAAATCCTATCTTCTGCCTTATGTCCCTTTATTCTGTACGCTTGGTGTCAAATCTTCTAAGAAGCAACTTTCAGAAAAAACAGAGTTCTTTCTTTTCTGGACAAATTCAGGAAATTAGCAGATATAATATTGCAGCAAGAACGTACTAACTTACACAAGACTTTAAGACAATCTTCTTTCTTTTTTAACCGGTCTTTAATTTCTCCGGATACAAGTGTAGAATATGGACAAGCCAGTTCTTTTAAAAAGCCACTCATTTCTAGCTGTAAACTTTCAACATCTTCACCACCTAAAAAAAAAAGTCAAGTTATGAGAAAATTAGACATCTTCAAATCTGTCATCATTTTAGGCACAATTATTAAAAAAATCCAGAATCAGTAGTCTTTGAAGGACTTTGAGAAAGCGTCATTCTGCAACTATGTCCTTTTGATAGTAATGAATTATCTGCTTTATTTGCAATGGAACATATTAAAGTACAACATGTGTATGTTTATGTGTATCCTATTATATGCTTTAAACCATTATCCTCTAAAAAAGTAAATCCACAAAAATATGCAAATAATATTAATCTTAGGCAATCATGTCTATACTGGCTTGTACTCTAGACAAATAAATCTAACCAATACAATTTGAATTTAGTGGGCCCTTTTTGTCTTTCATGGCAACAAAGCGAAAATCCTGTAATTTAAATTCATGGACCAGTGTCATGTTAAAGATAAAGCTGAATGTCAAACATTACAAAAATATCCATTGCAGTTATTTTAAAAACTGGAAATGTGTGCAATGACATTATAATGGCTTAATTTTGATTTATGACTCTTTGTTTACTATACACATAGTTCTAACAGTTCAAATAAAAATCAGGTAAAAAATACCAGCTGTTGAGGAGATGCTTTCTTCCAGGTTACACAATGGCTGTATTCTGGAACTTAGCCAAACACAAAGCTCACAGAAATCTTGAGAAGCCAGCCCACATTCCGCTGCTTTATTAAGAGCATCTTCATCCAGAAGAGTGCCTTTGTATCTAGAGAATACAAAATTCAAATATACATCAAACACACACACACACACACACACACACANAAACCGCTTAGAGAGGGCTGAAAGCCCTATGAAGCGGTATATAAGTCTAACTGCTATTGCTAAAATACAAGGCTAATCTCTATTAAGTATACATTACTATATTTTATGTAGTGAGATTTTGCAAATTACCAAAAACATTAAAATTTCAGAGAACTAGCACAAATTCTTAAAGGTTCAGAACTAAAAGAGATCTATAGCTGTCACATTAAAATATACCTTATTGATTGCACAAATAGTCTTTTCCCGCGTAGATCCACTGCTTGTTCTTATGATCTTTGACAAATCTTCACGAGCAGCTAGAAGATGAGCTATTGAAATTGTTGATTTAGAAGTGAGTACGTAACGTTTGGGTTGATAAATCCTTGCAATATCATCTGTTTTCACCTAGGAAAATGGATAGACATTTGTAATAGCTGATGTCATAAAGTAACATCAGAAAGTTTAACTTTACTGTACTATGTACTAGTTATTTATGTCACGTATATTATCAGCTTACACTTTACAGTTTAGTTTCAAGTAAATTCCTAATGACAAAGAAAAAGCTGCTAAAATACTTAGGAATAACACTTGATTGTTTAAAGTATGCCATAATGCAGTTAAATTAAATTAGATAAAGTAGACTGTACAATTAATGAGAACCTATAGGTTATTATTTTAATTAAAGTTTATACTGATCTGATGTCATATCTTTCATTTGCCGATGCCAGAGTTCATGCAGAAATTACATTTATTAAAATTGTGTGTTTGTGTGTGTATGTGATAGTAATTGAATATTTATAATATTCAATATTTTTGATATAATTTGAAACCAGTAAATTACTGAAAATTTTCAGGAAAAAAAACCAATAATCTTACAGTATCAATACAGATTGTCCTCAACTTACCACCACAATTGAGTCCAAAATTTATGTTGCTAAGTGAGAAATTTGTTGTTAGTTTTGCCCCATTTTACAACTTTTCTTGCCACATTTGTTAAGTGAATCACTGCAGTTGATAAATTAGTAACCTGGTTGCTAAGTGAATCTGGTTTTCCCATTGACTTTGCTTGTTAGAAGGTCGCAAAAGGAGATCATATGACCCTGGGACCCAGCAATCATCATAAATGTGACTCAATTGTCAAACATCCAAATGTAAACCACATAACCATGAAGATGCTGCAACTGTCGTAAGTGTGAAAAACCTTAATAAGTCCCAGTGCTGTTGTAATTTCAAACAATCACTAAGCAAACTGCTGTAAGTCAAGGATTACCTGTATATATTGTAAGGTTACATTATTTTTTGCCTGAAAATTTTTAATGCATGCTTTGAAAATGTACTCTGGCCAAAGGTGGTTATGGTTACAGATCCATGCACTTTTACTAGTTGTAACACAGAAATGGTTTGTCATCTCTTCTTTGAGAGTGATGTGCAATTACTGAGTCAAGCTTGCAGCACCGTTGCTCCCTCATGGTTCCCCACCTAAGGCCCTTTTAGCTTCTACGCCTCTTCTAATTTGGCCAAGGGCTTCATCTGCTGAAATGTATGTGAATAAAGGAGAAACCAATAACTAGTATTCTCTTTTTTTCCCTGTATAACAGAAAACCTCTGTCTTTACATCTTCCACACCAGGATTCTATTCAATCAAGAACTAAAAAAAGAAGAAGCACACACTCACCTTAGCTCTATCAGACCACCCAAAGGACTGTACAGTTACATCTAAACGTTTCATTAACATCCGCCTGCGGCATTCATATTCAGTGAGAAGAGCCTCATTGATTTTTTCCAACTGCTTCTACAGAAAATAGAAATCACTTAAAGTAATCCTTTTGTAGAAATTTACTTACATTTAAATCCAACAAGATGAGAAGCACCAGGATCGGGACAGAACACTGAGAAAATCTGTCTCTGTGTGCTGCTAAATGTCCATACTAACTTGATGGTACAATCAATGAAACCCAACATCAATAAATATAAATTGCTATATTCAAATAAATGCAGACAAACCAAATATAGCATATAATAGATCCAATAATTAATTTGTGTGCCTACTAGATATGCAAGGTTTTTTTTTTGTTTTTGTTTTTAAAGATGTTACCATTTGCTTTGTATTCAAAGGAGTTTTTAGCAGAGGTTTCTCCATGTATGCTTTTGGAACTTTTGACAAAACGTCCTTAAGCTGAAAAAAAAAGAAAAGACATCTCTTTACATTTATGACTTCCAAAAAATAATATCCTATGTAACCAAGCAATTATATTGAAGCATGAAACACCCATCAACATAAATTGGATACAGTGATTTTAAGTGATCTTACTGCACCCAATAACTTTTTTCTACATGCAGACAAGATGCCTTTTAACCTGTTTCCCTCCTCTTTTCCCAAGGGTACATCATTTCCCAGAGATGGGTAAATACAATCTTCCACCATTTCTCAATTATGGAGAAATTATATGGAATAATACGTAACTGGCTCCCCCCAAGAGCTCTGCATTTTCCTTGTTACATGTTAAATGCCACCTCCCTTATGTATCTTCTTTGTGCTCCTTTACCAAATGAAGTAGGATAAGTTGCTACAAAGCCTTTTTAATTGTGGGACCCTCGTTGAATGCCCTTCCAAAAGTTACATGCCTGACCTCCACATGGGTGCCAGACCACAACATTCCTCTGTTTCTAGTTTTATAGATTTGTATTCAATGACTTTAATTCCAATACAAGATTGTTTTTATACATATATTGTGGCATGACAGGAAGCATAGAAATTAAACCTAAACCTAACTTAATCTAAACCTAAACGAACAAGAGAAAGGATCTGACGTTGCGACGATACGGATGATACAGCCGATACTTTTACCGCTGGGTAGTCCATCTGGACCTAAACCATCCCGAAGAGACAGTGACAGGGAAGTGTACGTCTTGCTGATCTCAGGGACATCACAAAGTCCCTGATTGATCCAAGATAATCGCTTCTAGCCGGCGATAGAAGCGCAGTCTCAAGCTGCTGAAGTCGGGACAGCTCCGCAATCAGAGGAAAGCAGAAAGAGAAAATGTGTCCATCTGGTGAGGAAATTTTATTTTTACAAAAGAGACTGCGCAAAAAAGATTAAAACCAAATCAAACTTGTAAAGAAAAGAAAAGAAAAGAAGCAGCGAATTTAAGCTATTTTGGACAGCATGTTATCCTTTTTTAAAAAATTGTCTTCTATGGATGGAAGTTTTGCAAACACGTCCTACTTTTTAAAGTGAAAGTTTTGGCTTTTCTTTTTCTACATTTTTTTTTAACCTATGAATTAAATCTTTTTTTAAATTTTCACAATACTGGCTTGGATGGGTTTTTTTTTTTCTTTTTATTTTGTTCTATTTAAGAGCCTTGTTTCTTTTAAGCTTGGAATATAAAGAGGATATAAAAGAAAGATAAAGAGAGCAGTA